GTTTAGGGTTTAGGGTTTGGGAAATGCTCAGCAGAGGAAGCGTATATGCTTGAGATCAGAATTTGGGTTCACTTTAGTGGGTCCCGAATAGTGTGCCCAGAATTTGGGTGTATATCATAAACTGTATATAAGTGCTCATGTCATAGGCTGCCCGAAGAAAGAGTGAATAGTGCTTGAAAGGACTTTTGGCTCCTAGAGTTGGGACTTCAGGGTTTAGGGGCTCAGGGTTTAGGGTTTAAGGGTTTAGGGCTATTTTGTTTTACGAATATGGGCTTTATTATCTATTTTCATATATATATATATATATATATATATCCATATTGTTCATTTTTTTACAAAATATGAAAATATGATTTAGGGGTCCCGTGAGTAGCTTGCAAAGACCCAGGGTCTCCTGCTGCTTTGAGTTTGGGTTTAGGGTCAAGGTGTAGGGTTTAGGGTTTAGGGTTTAGGGTTTAGGGTTTAGGGTTTTAGAACTTAGAACTTAGGGTTTAGGGTGTAGGCTTTTAAAACTTAGGGTTTAGGGTTTTAGGGCTTATAGGGTTTAGGGTTTAGGAAGGGTTTAGGATTGAGGCTTTAGGGCTTAAGCCTCATCGAAACATATCATAAGAGTAAAAGGGGAGCCTAGACAAGCAGAACAAGGTGTTAGTGGCAACATGGTCTAGGGGCACTATTTGCGGGCATACTATAAGTAACGTAGAAGCCGCAATAATTAGAACAGGGTGTTGGGGGTATATTATACTTTAATTATACTGAGGAGCCCCCCAAAACCCTATTCTAATTATTATTATGGCCCCTACATCGACTTGTCTCACCCTTGCTTGCGACATCAGAGACTCAACCATGGTTCCGAAGGGCCAAAGACTGAGCTCCCCTCCGGAGGCCTGACACCTCAAAGCCTTCTAAAGCCTCAAACGCCAAAAGCAAACCGAAACCCTAAACCCAACACCCCAAAGCCCCAAAGCCCCTAAACCCTATAACCTAAACCCTAAATCCTAAACCCCAACACCCCAAAGCCCCTAAACCTCAACCCTAAACCCTAAACCCAACACCCCAAAGCCCCTAAACCTCCATCCTATCCTCTCTGCAGCCCTTCCTGCCCTAAACCCTAAGCCTACGAGTTCCTTCTGCACTTAGTCCCTTGGTTGCAACTGACTTGGGGGAGAAGCCGGCGTGGGGCTTCGAAGAAACCCTAAACTCCTAATGCTGGGGCCTTCGGTAGGGTTTAGGGTTTAGGGGTTTAGGGATTTAGGGTTTAGGGTTAGGGAATTTTAGTAAGGGCTGTGAGGGTATATAGTGTTAAAGTTTCTGAAAGTAGAGTACGGCTTTTACAGATAGTTACAACATTATTCCTTATAGGATGCCTTGTTACTGTAACACGGAACCCGATAAGGCATACTGTTGGCAAGCAGAGGCCCCTATAAACCCTAAACCCTAAACCCTAAAACCCTAAACCCTAAACCCTAAACCCTAAACCCTAAACCCTAAACCCGAAGGATCTACCAGGAGGGTCCGAGTTCCCAGGTACTACACAGTGACTGGCTTTTGGTACCTAAAAGCCCTAGAATGGGGTTGCTTTCAGACTGAGGACTCAACCCTAAAGCCATAAACCCTTAAACTCCCAAACAACCCAACGGTCTCTAAACGCTTAAGCCTTAAACCCTAGACCCTAAGCCCTAAACTTCTGAACCCTAAACTCCTAAACCGTTAGCCTAAACCCTAAACCCCTGAACCGCTGAACCCCCTAAA